CAGCCCCAGCAGGTACTCCTGACACACACACCACATGGGTACTTTTCATGAACACAGAAGTGCACAGAAGGAAGGGAGCTACAGCACTTGCTGAGACGCGAGTTAGAGGTATTTCTTTGTGAAAAGATCAATTGAAATAGGTATGATGTGAATTCAGCATAAAAAACAGACATTGATCAGATATTATTAAATGGGATATTTAGTCACATTGTGTATGGATGTGTCTGGTGCATTTGCAGTGTGCGGTATAAGAACTGTTTTTTTTCTTCCTTTCCTTCACTTGCTTTTCCAAGGCTATTCGTTCAATTAAAGAAGGGCTGGCCGACCCCCTGGTGCGAACAGGGCATCGGTTGTCTCTGTATCAGCGAGCAGTGCGAATGAGAGAGTCTCCCAGCTGCAGGAAATTCAGACACCTTCTCAGAGATGTGCCTGAAATCGTGGTGAACGATGTCACGCATGTGAGTCTCCGTCTGCGGCTTCCAGATTTGTGTATTTAGTCTCTTTTTGTTGCTGTTGAGCAGATGACCTGCCTCTGAGCAGACTGGCAGGTGAACAGATGACGTTTGCCAGGGCAGTCTGCTGTCACTTGGTGGGTGTTGATTGCTCTTGCTCTTTGCCCCTGCGCTGCAAAGGAATACTTCAGTGTTGTCTATGCCGGGGAAAAAAAAGAATTCTTTCTGGGAAGGACTGGGTTCAGGAATGAAGATGTGTCATGAGATGTTAAACTTAACAATGCCTGAAGTGCCATGCAAAATACTTGCATCACGAGCTGCAAAATAATGTAAATGGTTTATGCAGAAACTGAATTTGACACTGAGTAAACCTGCCATTAATGTTCGAGCAGTTCCAGAAGAGCACCCAGCCTGAGGCTATCTGGTCTCGCAGCTCAACACTGTTATGAAACTATTAGAAGTTCTTACTGATAAATATGCAGATGCTATCTTCACTGTAAAGTAGCCTCAAATTGTATTTTGCATATGATATGCGTGTGTTATTTATCATTTTTCTTTCTCGTATCTCCTTTTTTGGGCCCCTGTTATTTCGAGCACACCACACGAGTATCCGAACAGCCCGCAGGGTTGGTTTGGCGATGAAGTTAACTTTATTATTGTACTGAGGTAGCCTGTGCTACTTTCAGCCTGGTCCACCCACCGTGCCACAAGTATTTCGGCATCTGATTACAGAGTACAGTGAAGGCAAGATCCTCTTTGGACATGGCCTTTAAAGAAGTAGCGTCCACCTGAAGCTCGTGGCGCTTCTCACAGGCCCACCGCCCAAGAGCAGCTGTGCTCAGGCCAAACCGGTGCTTTTAAGATCAGACTCCCCCTAGAAGCAGGGAAGAGAACATCTGAGAAGATGGTGTGGGAGTCTGGATGTCTGCCATGTTGCTGTATAGAAGACCTTGTGTGGCTTGTCTCATCTGGCAACTGTGCCCGGGCAGGTGACGATCCGCGGGCAGATGTGCCCGCAGGCAGGGATGGGGAAGTCCGTGTTCCTGATGCAGGAGGAGGAGACCCGGCCCGGTCCAGCCCGGGGCGCCCCCTCGGCCATGGTCATGTGCTCTGTGGAGGAGCTGGCACTGGCTCACTATCGCCAGCAAGGCTTTGACCAAGGTACCAAGAGCAGCCTCACACAGGCCACTGCACAAATAATAACCCCGACTGTCTGTACTGAGCTGCCTTGCAGGGAGAATTGTTTTGGCTTTCTGTGTGAAACCAGCCCGTCAGGTTATCTTATTAAACCTAGACACATACATGAATCTTTTGGAAGAGCAAAACAACACACTGTGACACTAGAAAATGTTATGCGAATTCTTAAAATACTTTAACAAATGAAAGCATATGACTGATTAAAAAACTGTACAATTACACCACTGTATGCAGTAGGACTTTTAAAAATTTCATTTTGATTGTGTAAATATACTAGTTTGTGCATTGATATAGGTTCATATTTGTTTGTCCATAGGAATTCACGGAGAAGGGTCTACGTTTTCCACTTTGTGTGGACTTCTGCTGTGGGATATCCTGTACATGGATGGGATAGCAGATGTCTTTCGAAATCCGTACCAGGTCAGTTTATTTTCTTTCAGTGCACCGTTGGGCTCCTTCTGAAGATCAGTACGATTGCTGGTGAAGACCTGAAGCTGTTTCTTTTCTGGCCCGATCAGAGCTGCCCTCTGGACCTGCACACCGACTGCTTCTATGAGAACAGGAAGGAGGCGATAGAGACTCGAGCGCAGCTCCTGCAGGAGGCCTCCACAGAGACGCTGAAGAGCCTCCTGGCCGAAACGTGGCATTCCCAGGAAGGGAGAGCGTCGGCGCTGGTGAGCTGGGACAGGTTCCCCTCACTGCAACAGGCTCAGGTAAGAGCAGGCCTGAGAAACCACAGCCACTGTAGGCTCTTAACGGCAGAAATGAACAAGTGAATCATGATCATGCAGTTGCCCATGCTGCACAAGATCACTTCAAGCAATGTAAAGGCTGATCTGGAAAGATTCTTGCAAAAGAACAGAATTGTGCTCCTGAATTAGACTACTCGATGGTAAGAGACTAGAGGCACTAGCTGGGAATACTGTAACTCCACAAGCTGTACCTGACAGGATGTGACAAGAACACAGGGGGCAGTGTAGTAGTAAAAGAAAAGCCTGTAATTTTTCATTACAAGATTTCTGTGTTTTGGAAGTGTAAACCTTGTTATGGACTTGGGCCTTTCCAGTGTTGTGTTTTAGGACGTGTTTTACATTGTTGATAGGAAACTCATGGAAGCTGGTCAATGACAAACTCTAGGGTTATTCCTGTCTCTTTGTAGATGAATGCCTAGTTTGAAAAATTTGTCAAAATTGCAGTGCTTTCTCAGGACAGTAGTTCAGCAGCTGTCAATTCCAAGTTTCATTTTTACACGACCCTTTAGTTTGAGTGCTTTCACGTGCAGACCAAGCTTCCTTTACTTCCGTTACCAATGCCAAGCGTTTCATTTGAATTCATTTCTGGTTTTTGTACATCATCAGTAGTTGAAGAAGTTAACAACACTCCAGCCACAGAGCTGACTTTCACTAGGACGCAAGAGATTAGAAAAGGAAGTTCTGAGGAATGGGCTTCGTCAGCTCTGCCTGTTTCGCCAAACATGTTTGCAAACTTCCAAGTATCTGCCTGACAGCAGAGGGAGAAGGCGAGATTAACGAGGTCTAAATCAACGGGCTTACTAAAGCAAACGCTCTCTCTCAAGAGTCTGGTGGCCTGCCTGGGGGGCCGCTTTCTGAGTGGGCTGGTGCGACGGATGGCGAGAGACTACCGCCACTGCCGCGGCGGGCTTCCGGATTTGGTGGTGTGGAACACGCAGGACAGCACGTACAAGGTGAGCCCATCCCGGCAATGAAAAGCTAAGGAGGGCTGGGAAAGAGTGGGGGGCCGTGTGCCCCATTTTCCTCTGTGGGTGTTTGAAGGAGCTCACTAAATCTAAAATGTCGTCCCGCTGTTTCTGGAGGAAGCTCAGAGTTTGGGCCTCAACCACCAGACTGGGAAGCACAATTCAGATGACCGCTCCTCTTTTTCTTTTTCTGGCCAAGCAGCCCCTTCTTATAAACCTTTTGATGAAAGAGGAAAATCAAATAGCCATATTTAAACTTGGACTTCACAATCTGGATTGGACAGAAATAATATAGTTAGAGGCAGTGAAAGCAGTGATGAGTACTAGCCAGAGAATGGCTTACAGCCTCACAATTGTTGAAGTATTGTTAACTTGGTACTAGAAAACCCTTATTTTGCTTATATCTAGTGGTAATGGAATCCTACAGTGGAGCAAGCCAGTGGAGAGTTATGTCTGACTGTTATCTACCTCCCCCTTTCTCGGTGTTGCAGCTGGTGGAGGTGAAGGGCCCGAATGACCGGCTGTCCCACAAGCAGATGATCTGGCTGGATGAGCTGAGGAAGCTGGGGGCAGACGTGGAAGTGTGCCATGTGACTGACATCGGGGCCCGGAGCACTCGCCTGAGCTGAGCCAGAGCGGCAGTCCCATCACCTGACTTCAGCAATCCTTATCCAGCTCAGGGTCAACAAGCAACAGGAGAATGGTGGGATACACCCTGGCCAGGACGCCAGTCCAGCACACAGCAGTCACCGACACAAAAACCCAGAAGCCAATTAACTAACCAACATTCTTTGGACTGTGGGAGGAAACCATGCAGGCTTCATGTAGAGAGAACCAGGAATTGAGCCCAGGGCCCCAGTATGCTAACTTCTGATTTCCCAAAAAATGAAATCCCTGAGACCCCAGTACTTTCTGTTCCATCTTCTGTAGGACCACAAAATCTGGAAACAGTTGATTTAATTTAATTAATTGAATTCAGTAATGGTTTCAATTTAAGTTAGCAAAAGCTTTTGAGGAATGAAAGATAGAATCCCTGATAGCTCTCCATGGCCAGGGATATGGTTTAATGATCTAACATGGGGCCCTAGTTTATAGCCTGCTTTCCTGGAGTCACAAATGTTTAGGGGGAAGTTCACGTCCACAGCAAACGGCATTTCAGGACAGGGAGGTTTGTGAAGGACCTTCTCCCTTGGATTACAAAGAACTATGTTTATGCCCTCAGTGTAATGCTGCTTGAAGTATCTCAGGAAGCTAATGTAAATTAAAAGATTGTGGATTCTCTTGAGGATTTTAATTGTAATCCTTACTTGAATCTTACTGATTTGTACAAATGTTGCCATATCAGAAGGTATTGGAGCAATAGTGTCAGCCAAGTGGAAAAGTGAATCAGAAAAGAAACATACCAGGGATCATGAAGCTTCAATCTCCTTTAAACCAAATCTCACTAATCTGTCACATGCTGCTATTGTACATTAATAATCTTGCTCTGTTTTTAATTTATTTTATGTATATGATATTAATTAAATCTGAAACTGATTTAAAATCTTTTAAACAATCATTGCTGTTGTAATAAACCACACTATTTCTACTTCTTCATTCCTTTTAGGAGGGGGACAACAAAAACCACCACCACAGATATTTAAAAGCAATTTTATTTACACTATTCGGCAAATATTAAATATTGACAATGAATGTATTTGGCCTCTCAGAATGGCAGCTATGCGCTTACAAAGAAAGAAAGCCCTGTCAGTGCTTTGGACAGCTGGCACTCCTCGATCACAGCTGGGTGAGACAAGCTTTACAATACCAGTTACAGCAATGGCTCTGAGGCGTGCAGGAAACCCCAGTGAGAATCCAGGGGTCACTACTGGAACAGCCAGGTTCTGCTGCAGGGGTCTCGGACCACCTGCACAGCTCAGGGCTCGGAGTGCGGAATCATCCCTGGCAGGTTTTTAAGCTTCATTTTTTGCATTGAAGGGGAACTGATGTAACGTCAGTTCCATATGGCTTCCAGGTGTGGTAGCTTTGGAATCAGTGAAGTGCTAGTACACAACTGTGTGGAACTGTGAAGCAACCCGTTAAAGCAGAAAACAATCCCAGGTCCTTTTAATACTTTTTACATCTTAGTAAGCCCATAATCCCCTTTAAAGGCACAATGGATTACAAATGACCCAGTTTTTAACCATACTGCATAACTAAATAAATATTTATGCTGATGTCTTTTCATCACATTGTGCTACATGAAGTGCACAATAATCACACAACAACAGCCGAGTGCATTTTCAGTAAGGATTAGTGGAAACTAATATAGCTCATACTAAATTGTTTTGTTTTCAAAATATATAGTAGTTATAGTACCAAGTTTCAAAAAAGAGATCAGTAAATGTCAGTTACAAGTAGGGCAAAAAAAACTGTATTTTGATTGCTAATTTACTTACTACAATTGCTATGTTGTCTATGGTTTTTGCTCTTCAGTTCATTTTTTTTAATAATAGAGGTCCCACATTCTTGGATTTTGAAGTAGAACAAGATAAGCCGGGAAGGAAGAAACGAAAAAGACATTAATGCCCCATATATGGCCAGTGTAACACCATCACCACTCTAAGGACAGTAACCCCAGAGCTGCACAGCAGCACTGAGAGCCTGTCTCCCAGTCCCAGACTGGAGTCTGTCTGGACCACAAATACAGAGCTGTGTCATGTACAGTACCTCTCCTCCTCTTTCAACAGCTCCACAAGCAGGTGTCCAGCCTGCCCTGCAGTCCTGACTGACAGCTCTAGCACTTATAAAAACCCTCTAAGGAGGTTCACTTAACCCCACGATTAATCCAGCAGGGGCTCTTGGGGAAAGGTCAAGGAAAAACCTTAGAAACTACCTTATAAAACTACTCACTATTAATATTTTATATACAGATTGTTCTCTAATAGCTTAATTTTTTAACCCTGTAACAGTGGGGATAATATAAGACTACAATTATGTTTCTTCTCAAAGACTTGACTACAGTTTATTCAAAAAGAGGTTTAACTTACTTCACCTTACCAGAAGGTCTACGAATAAGTTTACACATCTTGTGAAATATGTGTAAGGTACCACAGAATAAAAGCCACATATTCATTTTGCATTTCATCTAAAACCTGTGTGAATTCGTATATCTCGCCGTCAATTTATAGTCCACTATCAATGTAACTGATTTTCCAAAAATCTCTGCTGAAGACTACTGAAACCTGGCAATAACAGCAAAAAATGTTACCCTGCAAATTGTGCGGTTTCAAGCTGTTTTTTAATTCCTTTGAATTATCTTGTGCAAAAATAAAACGCCCCCACTAAAGGATTTCAGTCTCCTCTAAGCCGGTGTTTTTACATGCGTTTTTTGTGTTACTGCAAGTGGATCAGACTGTAAAGGGTATGTCTACAAGGCTACAAGAGCACTCAGAGCGTCTCGCTGGCCAGAGTTTCAGTGGAAAGCCAGATTTTGGCACCACTGAGGAATTTGCTGAGTGGGGTTCCTAGAATGCTGCGCCTACAGAGATTTCCAACGGGAGAAAAGGGGAACGATGATGTCAAGTAGTCAGGGGTCGACAGAGAGTCGCTGAGGCTGTTGACCTTGAAGTACATTTTGCTTTGCTCTGTTTGAGGGGTGCTGGCCGCTGGACACGGGTTACCCTTATACTGCCGCAGCTGGTTCTGCAGCTTCTCGATCTCGTCGGCCAGCAGGGACACCTTGTGGAAGGCCGTGATGAAGCCGCCGCCGTTGATCTGGGCCTCCGGGATCCAGCGCAGGAAGTAGAGCTTCCAGAGCTTGATGTGCGAGGGCAGCAGCTGCGGCAGGAGCAGGCCCTGCAGGTCGGGGGGCCTGGACAGCCAATCCCTGAAGAACTGCTCCGAGGGGCTGTCCTGGGGTTCCCGCAGCTGGGAGAAGTCAGGCTTCAGCCTCAGCACCAGGGAATTCCGTCTGGGAATTGAATCCTGCTCACTCATCAGGCCGTTCCGTAGAGAGGGCATTCCCCGCATTGTGGAGCTGTGGTATTTCTAGGCAAAGGAGAAAAGAGTGTTGACTTTTCGTATCGAGCATCTGTTCCCACACTTAGAAGACTTCGCACTCTTTCTAATGATTGAAGCCTGTCCACTTTCCACGATCAAACTTGCAGGAGTTTTCTTGTGTTGTTAATCCTTACATTTCTCTCCAAAACTCTCCTTGCTTTCTTAAACTAAACAAATTTTCACCATAATGGAAAAGATACACTGTGAATAAATACAGTACAGTGCACTAATTTCATGCATATCTCATGACTAGGGAACTACCTTACCTTTGCACGTCTGAATGTCTTTATGGCTCCATTGTGCACAAAGGTAGTGCTCTTCCCTATGTACAGAGGGCTGTTGAATAGAGCCTGGTCTTCAAGTGTGAACTGCTGAGACCAGTCCCACACAGGGGGGAAACGCAGAGTCTTGTCTTCCCCCAGTGGGATATTCTTGCTCCTGGCAAAGTCCTGCGGGACAGCAGAAGAACAATCACTGCTACAGCAGCCACCAAACGAGCTGTAGAAGCAAAATGTGCAACTGTCTTAAGCTTACAAATTCTGCTCTGCAACATTTTTGAGGAGTCCAAGGACCATTACTTTAATCTGGACATAATTCTGTTTTTCTCCAACTATTTGTAATCAGTCTGGCTGTAAAGCCCTGAATGCATCCTTTAAACATGCCTTTTCAATCTGTTCTGTTTAAAAAGAAGTGACAAGCAGCCTGTGCAGAAGCGTCTGCTGGCCAGCTGTGCACTCACTCTGCTGTGCTCTGCACGCTGCTGGGGGCAGTTGAAGAGGAAAGTGCTGAAGACCGGGATCCACATGCTGTCGCTCAGCACCGTCAAGTAGGTCTCCGTGAATTCAAAGGCGGCTGGGTACTGATTAAGCAGCTGCCACACGCAGTCCAAGAACATCAAGAACAAGGGCGACTGGGGAGAGGCAGAGAGATATACAGCACCTTATAAAAGGATTCAGATTCTTCCTCTTTTTTTAATTTTGTGAGTTTGTAATTTTGTGAAATTACAAATTGAGATGTAGAACTCAGTATTTGGTGGAAGCCTCTTGGACAATGATTAAAGTCACCAGTCCAAAGACTTATGTTTTTATTCTGAAGTGCTGAGAACCATTATTAATGCACACACAGACAGAGGCCACTCAATTAATAGTGTGGCTCAATAAGGTAATATTGTGCATCTAGACTAGGGTTTTTATTTTATTTTCCATTTTATTTCTATTTCTTTTTTCTTTTTCTTTTTTGCTTTTTTAGTCATGACTGCACACTTTAAAGGAACAAAAGATGAAAACTGAATACTTTTGAAAGGCACTGTACACATAAAGACATGCCACATTCAACATACCCAAATTTCTGAACAACGTTTAGAGTCAGGCAGAGGCTAGATTGAAAATGCAGACTACATGCTCTGTCAAGAACTCCATGGAATAATGAAACGACTCTCATACCAACTGGATTCTAATTGATCCCGGATCCAAGGGATTGTGGGGGAAAAAATTTGGACCCTTACCTCCTCTTTCTCAGATTTCTTCAAGTGGTTACACCTATCAAGGAAGCGATACCCTGCCATCACCCACTCCTTCTGCACCAGGCTCTGGAACCCTGTGATGCTCCGGAAATGGGGATCCAGCATCAGCTGGACCAGAGAGGAGATCACACAGCTGAGGTCACGGTCTTCCTCCTCTGCAGGGGATGAGCGATATGAAGGAAGAACACAAGAAGCAGAGAGTGAGCACAGGGGCGTAGGTAACACCTGGCCTGAAAAATGAAAACTGTAGCTTTTCCCAAAAGTCTGGAGTGACCTAATGGCAATGACTCAAGAGAAAAGGTTTTACCTTGCAAAATGACAGAAACATGCTTTCCCTCCAGCATGTACACTAGCTCAACAGAGTGTTTCAGGAACAACCTAGAAAAATAAAGACATCCAGGTGAGAAACACGTACACAAACAAATCCTTACTTAGTGTATCATGCACTAATACAACAGGGGTATCATAATCTTTACAATTCATCTCAAAGTACCATTTAAAGCTAAAACAGTGGGCATTCTTGGGATATGTGTACAGCTGTCTTTATCAGATCATCCCTGTAGCAGTGAACATGGCCAAACGATTGTACTAGTTTTTAACCAAGACGAAACCAACTGCAGACAAATCATTCGGTCAGTCTTCTTAGAGCACCCATGGAGAAGATAGGATAAGACACGTAGGCAGGTAGAGGAGAAAGACCAAAAGCAAAAATAGAGGCAATTGGTAGGATGAGAGACTTTCCAACCTTCACATGCCAGAACTGCACAACTTTAAGGTATTGTTTTAGGTAATTTTTCACTACAAAAGGCTGACACTAGGCCTTAAGTAAGGGACTATTTTTATAGTTGTGGAAATGTATTCTCTATTTGTTTCTTTTTGACATTGTCAAAAAGAAATCTCTTTTTGTCAGTGATTCGGTATTTTGAATAAGGAAATGTGTTCCTATTTGTTTAGCATCTGTTTTTGAGTGTAGTAGTATTTTTCTTTTTTACAATTATGTCATTATATATAAAACTATATCATCACTTTGTTATTAATCCAATCATTTTGTATCATGTCAGAATGGGACACCCATTTCACTATAATACAAACAACCACTGTGTATAGTACCTTGAAGCAATAACAGATTTTTAAGAAATCTTTCCTTACAAACTTGAAGGAAACTTCCCTTTTTTTTGCCTTTCCAGCAAGGAATTAATGTCAACAGTTAAATGTTATACAACCTTAAGAGGCACAATACAAAGGCTGGGATTCAAACAAAAATAAGTCACCATGCCAAAAAGAAAAACCTATGAAATCACTACATAACAGACATTCTGGTGTGCACGTCAAAACCATCCTAAAAACACGAATGCATTCTCTGGCAAAAAAAGAACACCAGATGTCTAACATAATGCCAAGTAAAACATTTCAGAATGCTACTTTTAAATTGAAGTTATAGGGTCCAGGAAACACGCCAAAGAATGAGAAGGATGCACTGCATGGCAGGGCCTCCTGGTGTTTGTGTGTACCTGACATACTCCAGCCAGCGCGCGCTCTCCATGGACGACAGCCACTTCTCCTCCGTGTCCTCAAAGGGCTCTGTGTACAGACAAACACACAGTCAGCGCCGCTCCAAAACATCTGAGAAGGGCAAACCGAAGTCAGACTGCATAAGGAAATCCTCTCTCTAACGAACTTCTTTTGTATGTGGAAGAACTGCCTTTTTTCCCCCCTAAAGAACACAACATTCCCTTTCAAAGGGAATTTCACCCATTTTGTGACACTTTGTTTTGTGTTGCACGGGGACGAAATCAAATTTGCCATAATCTGCATTCTATACATGTGTAATTTTAAAAACGGGAGAGGAGGACAATGCTTTTATCCCTTGTCAAGCTCACCAATTACACAGATCTGCCTCAGCTTGACAAAAGCCGCCTGGATGTCTTGTATGGCTGGAAGATTCTTGTCTAAATCACACTTGAACACATCACTCCGCTGAGGGTGGCTTTTTGTGATAGCGGTACAAATCCTATGGAAAAAAAACACATGAAGCAAGCGCCCGTCACCTGCAGCGCTAGACAAACCTCTTGACAGCAAACCTAAGAAAAGAAAGTTCAGCATAAGTTCAACCTTCTTCCCCAGGGACTGGCTTAATACGAAAACACACTACTGGTTCTGTTCTTCTCAGATGACTCTTAAAACACTGATCATATAAGCAAGGAATTCCTACAGTACTGTACATTTTCATATCCCCAAAAATAATTTGCTAAACAATATTTTAACCTCCTGTATTTATGCATGCATGAAAGTCAACAATTAACTACACAGTGTTGCTTGAAGTTCTTAATAGCAAACCTCAGTGAAAAGGGGCATCATAATTCGCACAAAAGTGATCAAACATTGCTGCTTTACTCAACTTATCGTTTAAGTTTTTCTAAAATGCAGGGTAAACAGGCTTTTACATGTCAATGCGAATGATGTTGTTCAACACATCTGCTTCTACTCACCTTTGGTCTATCTTCCTTTGTTGAACCACGTCTCTGATGCTGGACATTCGAACCAGAGCGCTGCCATTTGGATGATTCCAGCACCACAACTAGGATAGGCACAGACATCAAATTAGGGACGCTGCAGTCACTACAGACACTGTGTCACCTTTCTAAGTATGTCTTGAAATAGCAGTAATGAAAACATTGTGAATAACAGTGTTATATAAGTGTTAAAAGAAGGTACAGTAATTCAAAATGCATGGTATATAGTAACCAATCGGCCCTTAAAAAATAAAAACAGAATGTTCAGAATGGCTGGGGTCTGACAGTAAAGAAAACCAGCTCAGCACTCACTGGAATACGTTTCCCAGCAAAGAATCCAGAAAACTGTTTCAGGTCTTGATCAGCCAGGGAAACAGGGACCACAAAGTATTCTGGAAGACTGAAAATCAGAAGTGGTTACAAAAGATGTTTTTAGGTAAGATGCATCACAGCACTTCTGCAAGTATATGTCTTTTTAGGAAGAAGCAACAGTTCCACTCATTCTCCAGTTACTAAACTCATTAACTGTTATTTTCTTACAATTCTAGAGGTAATTACTAAACAATAATTTCAGCAAAATAAAAAAACAGTAAATGCAGAAATTACAGGGCCTGGGAAATGCACACATGCAGTGATTAACTGCCAGCAAACCAAAGTCTGTGTCCCTGAACATAGCAGCACTCACATCAAAGAGGAGTAGCAACCTCCAGTAACAATACCAGGTTCAATCAGTGTTTTCTTTAAATGCAGGTTTTCTGTAATGTTACAGCTACTATTCACTTGAAATACTGTATTACTGGCTGCACACTCAAATGGATTTAGCTTCAAGACAACAGGCTCATTACAGACGCATTCAGACTGGTTTAAAAAAGCTGACAGTTAAATGATGTAACCTGCTGCTTCTAAAGCAAAAGGTGTATTACTGTATGTTCCCAGTGCTCTCTAAGAGTTTCTCCAGGTACTTATTGGCATAAGAAGACAGTGTACTATAAGCCAAATGCTATAACAAGAAAAAAGCATCTTCTAGTTGTACAAATTAAGTTCAGAGAATATTCATAAAGCAGCACAATGAGAAAGCTGGAATTTTAGAGATCTGTCTGTGCTGACCTTTAGCCGGCAAAAAATAATAGCCAGAAGACATGATCTGCTCCAGAGCCCTCCCTTTAATTTTAAGTAACATCGTTTAGTTACAATACGAATGGGTTGTGGCTCCCCCCTAAAGGGAAGAGAAAGTGTTCTCAAATAGGAAGCTTTCAGAACTGCCTGTTCTACAGAGTAATGCTATGAGTAAGAGATAACGTGAATTTACTCACAGAGGCGTCTAAAAAAAAAGTCAGTGAGGCGCTGCTAGAGACCAGCGCCGTCTCCTACACACCTGTGCGAGATGGCATAGCCCTCGTTGATGGAGCACACTCTCCACTCGGAGGCCCCGGTGCGCTTGATCTCTCTGTCCCAGTCGGAGGGGCGGTCGAACAGGGGGGTGTGCTGGCCGGCTGCGTCGCCCCCTCCCCCTCCCCCGCCGGGGTCCACACCGTTCACCCTGTCACCTGCACACACGTGGCACGCTGTCAGCCTTCACGTGCCACCCAGGGGCGAGAGGCACTCGCTGCAACCCGTTTCCGCATCCACGCTCCTCTGGGGCGCCGCCCGCCCTCTTCTGCTCACAGGGTCTCAAAAGACTCCCTTTTTAAATGTGTTTGCATTGTATAATCCCACACTGGGGCGGCACGGTGGCGCAGCAGTTAGCATTGCTGCCTTGCTGGTTCAGTTCCGGATCTGGGGTGCTATCTGTGTGGAGTGTGTATGTACTCCCCATATGCACATGGGTTTCCTCCCACAGTCCAATGGCACACTAGTAGTTTAACTGGCTTTTTGGAAAACTGGTCTTACAATAGGTGTGTGTTTTCTGTCAGTGTGTTCCCTGCAATGGAGTGGTGTCCCATCCAGGGTGTCCCCTGCCTTGCGCCAGTTGCTTGCTGGGATAGACTCCGTGTCCCCTGCAACCCTGAGTTGAATTGATCAGAAAATTGAGGATGGAATTATACACTGGAATTTATTCTGAAATGACTAACTATTTCCAATGCAACTGAATTTGAAAAAGAAATCACACGGGCACCGCAAAGTGACTCACAGAAGCCCAAGTCGTTCAGATTCACATCCTTTCGCATGAGTTATGCGGGTGTGACACAGTGATGCACTGTGTTCAACCTGCACATCAAGCTTTGCCTATTTACGCTGGGGCTCAGGCTGAACTAGATGTCAACTTCCATGTAGCAGAAAAAAAGAAAACAAGACTAAGGCACTGTACCTGGACTGTAATATCTCTTCCCAACGTATTCGAATCCAAACAGGAGCTGAGGATCAGCTGGCTGTGAGTAATGGGCTATTGCCAGGCAAACCTTAGAAAACAACAACAATGACAACAGAATTCAGTACATTACGAAAACAACACTAAAAGCACTCAACCCCAGGCATGACTTGGCACAGACTGCTAGAGGTAAGATCAGGAAATGTTCAGGCTTCTAGAACGTGGGAAAATAATCTATGCAACAACCACTACTTTTGCCAAAGTGAAGTTCAGAAACAGAAAGACAGGTTTCTCGTGGGGCAGTTTTGTTTTTTTACTTTTTCAACATAAGTCACTAAGCATTGCAATTATACCATGAGCCGGGATTAGAGCTGAGCTCTTTCAAGCTACAGTGATCTGAACAGCCACCTTGTTCTGTAGCTCACCTGCCACAGCACATGTGTTTGCTCTGTGTGTTCAGAGCTTTTCTTGGCTCACAGTCTCTAGGCCTGAAAACTTTCAATAACACTTCCAGCTGCGTCTTGGCTTAAATGGCCAGCACCTTTGTTGCATGAACCTAAACAGTGAATATAATTTATTTCTTAATGATGTTCATAACAGCTGGAGAACTAAATCATGTGCAAAGCTTTTGTTTTTTCCCCGAAATGAAGCGAAAATTAAAGTGCTAGTTTTAAACTGAAACCTACCTGTGCTTTACATCCAACAAAGACCCTAACTACAGCCAGACTGTAAGTGCATGTGTGTGGAGCTCTCCAGCTATAGAGCTTTAGAACTATACAATGCTGCCTATTCATGGGAGAAATGGCAATTGACTGGCCACACAGAAAATGAACTTGTACAGCACTGCTACTCCCAGGTATGCAATTTCCTTCATGTAGGTAGCTATTACAGATCCGCTCCATTCCACACGTCCCAAGGAAAAATAAAAGCCTGTTTTTTATAATTATAATTATAATATAGATATATATATAATATTATATTAATATTAATTATATATATATATAATATTATAATTGCAGAGTGTAGGTTTAAGAATCCATATTTACAACCTACAGTCTTCAGCTATATTTCAGGAGCTTCCTACAGCATACTGTACATGTCTAGCGCCACACATTTTAACATACTGCAGCAGAAAACCAAGTCACCAAGCCACCATGTTATTAAAAACAGCATATCTACAGGCAGAATTTATTGCCATGAAGACTAGTAAATAAGATGTCTTAGTGCTTTAAAGAAATATACAATGCTAATTAACAGCTGACTATGAAATGTAGAGAAGATGGCAAGAGCATATTATCCAATTAGAGATGAAGACAGATGGTGATGCCTGCCCATGTTTTCTCTGCTCTTGTTTTTACAGACCTACACTACAAGTTGCTTAGGCCAAACAGTGTACATTAAAGAAAGACCTTGTACCACAAACAGAAATCATTTTCAACCTTTAATTAAAACTAGTTAAGGAGGCCTGGAGCACTAACAGATAATCTTTCAGGATGGTTTGCTATTTTTCAGGAGTGCACTGTGACCCTTCCAATTTACAGCATAGTATGTTGTAAATGCCATTTGCTAGTGAATGACTGTGACATAAAAAAATGTTTAGTTTTTTATGTTTTATGTCACAGTTTTGCCCCCCTAAATGTGACATCAGAAAAAAAGCATATCCAAAAATTATAAGTTAAGACATTTATTATTTATGACACTTCTTAAAACACAGCTGAACTGTTTCCTTATGAATAGAACTCCACATGCGCTGTTAGCACTGTTGAAATAGTACAGGTGTCATTAAGACAAAAAATAACAAATACCCTTAAAAGACTTTTTGAATCTACACAAACATTATGCAAAGCTATGTATGCAATATCAAACTACTAAGATACATAAAAGCTACACATATTCAGCTATAATAAAACCATGGTTTTAACATTTGGAACGCAAATCTCATGTATAAATTCATCTGTGGAGCACTCTTTGAAAGATCAGGAAGCAATGGCTGAATAGGCTTTTTGTTCTCCATTTTCTAAACTGCACACGTTCACATAAGCTGGCAGGTTCCGACAGGATTTAGTCTGGCATCTTGCATGTCTGGCACAGGAGACTTGAAATTTTCCAACATTAACTAGCGGTCTCATTTGCTGGGTAACTCCAGGTTAGATTTACAACAGCACGATTAATAGGACGTGCTGTTCTGCTGTTTATATCCCTAACATGCTGCCCAGAGACCCAGGACACAACGCTGACAAGACAAGTCAGCTCTAAATGAATTGATCACTCAAAAGTTATTTTATTGTTTTGGAATACTTTTCATCTTCCTTCCCAAACTACCTTATTTTTGCTTTTCAGACAGAGGTACAGCTGTGTCTGGCCTTGGACTGTAGTCAAAAGGGGAGGAAAGATGAATCAGTTTCACAATGGAATTTCTTTTTAGTATCAGTCACTATGCATCACAATTTCCTTAGCAACCACAACTGTTATTCACTGATATATATATATAAAATGGTCTGCACAGTGTGTCGTCAGTAGTAGGTCTCTCTGTAAACAGAATATCATAAGCAGCTGAGTAAGTACTTAATTGTTTAAACGGTATACTGTATTTCCACAGAACTAGCCAGGAAGGAGTTTAAAGTCCTAAAACAGGAGGTGAAAGTAAAAAAAAAACAAGCTGTATTAACCCTTAAACTGGCAATGCCTCCCCATAAACTCAGTTCTGAATGTAGTGGCCCTCTAACACAACATTTATTGTGTCCTTCTTCCTTGAATTAATTTAGGTTTAATAATAATAATTGCTTACACTTATATAGCGCTTTTCTGGACACTCCACTCAAAGCGCTTTACAGGTAATGGGGATCCCCTCTACCACCACCAATGTGCAGCCCCACCTGGATGATGCGACGGCAGCCATAGTGCGCCAGTACTCTCCCCACACATCAGCTATCAGTGGGGAGGAGAGCAGAGTAATGAAGCCAGTTCATAGAGGAGGATTATTAGGAGGCCATGATTGGTAAGGGGCAATGGGAAATTTGGCCAGGACGCCGGGGTTACACCCCTACTCTTTTCGAGAAACGTCCTGGGATTTTTAATGTCCACAGAGAGTCAGGACCTCGGTTTTACGTCTCATCCGAAGGTTTAACTAATTCACTTAATAAAATTGTACAGGTAAAGAATGATACCACAGACACTTTAGATTTCCTTGTGAGCACTTTGGAGATTTCAGTTTATCTGGAATTTCAATGGAACAGTCTTATACAGGAACTGCCTGCTGAAGACAAGTTTTGAACTGGTCAAAGCATTTTATTTGGAGCGCGGATGGAGTGGTCCAAGCCAGGGCTGTGTTATCAGGTGGCTCTGTCAGGGATTTGCCAAGTGGCAGTGCACATTTGTTCGTACATGTGTGGGTTGCTGCGGTTTTGCAGGTATATTCTCAATTGGTCACCCCTGCAGGTCATTCAAAGTGCTTTCAGTGAGCACTGCATCGCCCCTTCAACTGATACTGGCTCAGCTGTGGCCACTATGTCTATGGCTCTGACAAAACACATTTTAGAGGAGGTTCTCCTATATTATACAGTACATGCACATCTAGACAATGTATACAAAACTATAACAGAATTCTATTAGAAAAACCGGATTCATGTGGCCAGGTAAATGCATTTTATATCAAAATCCATTAGACCAGAATTAAAAAATGCATGAGAGGCTGTGATCTTCAGTTGAACAGAGGGAACTGATGCCGTGGCAATGTTTACCATAGGCACCTAACAGCACACAAGGAAGCTCAGGTCAGCCAGCTAGAACTGATGCCACAATCTCTCTTCCCAAGCGAAGAAACCTTTGTTCCAAACAGTTCTTATTTCAGACCTTTTTTAAGCTTGCTGCAGGCCAGATCAGAACACCAGATGAAAGAGCCTCACACAGCGGAGACTGAGTCTAAACCTCTGTCATCGAAACCTGCTCAGCAGGGAAGAAGGGAGACGGGTCACGACTGATGTCATGCCAGAAGCTTCATCATCATCCATGTGCCCACTGGCCCACTGGGAATATCAGGCCTCAGATCTCAGGACACCCATAGACTGAAGAGACACATCCCACTTGGCAGGGCTCTGCTTTTTTTGTACTACACTTTGCTCAACAGATCAGCTCAAGTTCTCAGAACTAACTGGATACTTCTTGTATATTGTCCTCTGCTCTGCTAGAAGCTGAAGAGTCAACCATATCAAGCTGCCGGGTTCCTGACTTCTGCATATTACAATCTCCTGTATTGCTAATCAAGTTATTGCTTTTCCTAATGCAACCACATATTGGATTTTCTCCACTTCCTCTGCTGATACATGGGTAACGCCTAGAAATATTTAACATCTCAAGACTGTTTCCTCTTCATTTACAGCCATGATATCAAGTTTTCATCTCGCAGGACTAAAATGGATGAGAAGGCTTTTGTTTCCCGAGTTTTTTCTCGCACTGGAACCGGTGACATGACTCGGCTAGGACTTATGTTTTTATGTATTTTCTGTCTTAGAACATCAAGATTTTAATTCCCACAGACTGTGTAAGATATGTTATCTCAATAAAGATATTAAAACAAATGCTGATTCTGAGAAAACACACATTCGTGTTAGATTTCTATATCTGAGGGAGTTTTAAGGTTATGATTTAAATAAACAAGATTCCCATCTCTTTTTTACCAGGATGCCATGTGGAGAATATATTTGTGAATCCCAAATTAAACATTTAAGCTCTTCAGTTTTTACTCTCGTTACCATGCACAGCGAGAACCACTTTCAATGTAAAGAATGCATACAATGCAGAATGTGTGAATACCTAATTACTTTAATTTAGAATAACTGGAACTAAAGGAATCAGACAATTAAGAGCGCACACGCAAGTTGAAGTGCAATAAAGTAACCATAACGTTTGACGTTTCTTAATTATGCCACTTAATTATTGTTAAAATAGAACTGAACTCGCTCTTGGTTTATTTAAGTAACACATGCTTGTCATGCAGCACCCCGGACAAGAGCTGTGTGAAAAACGTGTATGATTGTTCAGATCCAGTTTAAAATGAGTAAAAAATGAGTGACCAGTTAAAAACTATCTGATTTTAACTTGTATGATTTTAAGGATTTTGATTATATGGAAAACGTATATGAGTGTACAGATCCAGTTTAAAAGGAGTTAAAAATGACTGACCATTGAGAGTTGATTAATTAATTTATCTGAGTAACACAAGGGACCAATAAGCACGTAAGTGAGGAATTCCTTTCCTCTTTCACTGGGATCAATTGCTTTCTTTTTTTTCTTCCTAAACAATGCTGTAATTATCAACCCGCATAAAGCAATGCAGCTGTTCTTCAATGTCACTGGGTCACTGAAAACCTCTCATTGAGAAAAGGGACACCTGAGTGACCAAAGGACTGTTTTCTGGAGGCAATGCTGAGGCCGTGAGCTTTACCTTCTTTGTGCTCTCTGGTCCCGCCTCATCGAAACGAAAGCGCACCATGCGGAAGTCCTTGCAATAGATAATCAGCTCAGTAGGATTGAATTTGAGCTTCTGGTTGGAACCCAAGACCTTCTGCTTCCCCTTTGCGTCATTTACTGGAAAGGAGACAAAAGCTAATTAGCTGGGACTGAGGCTGACGCAACCCGGCAGCAAAGATAGTCACAGCGCTGTCCAGCAAGCCGACAGATGGAGATGCATGACAGTCACCTTGAGGAAGGGAACCTGAATTCCCCAGACAACAGCATGGGAAGTCCCTGGAAGTGTAAAGCTAAAAATGTGACAAGACCTACAAAAAATAAAGGCTCAAATCTTGATTTTCTTAATACTCTTTATTAGAAAGTAAAACTTTCTAAAAAAGGGAACAACGCCCTTGGTTTAATGCAAAACCAAAAACTTCCAACTTTCACTACTTACATTTTCAGAATTCCCCCTTCAAAAGCTTCCAGTATTCTTTCTGTGATGCAACTTTAATACTTTCAAGAAGAAGGGACTGTATTTATGTAAAGAAAATGTCCACGGCTTTAATTCATGAAGTACACTAAATCAACCTCCCCTGCCCCATAGTCTTCTAAAAAATTCTCAAGAGGATGTTTCAAGTTATTTTTGAGGCAGCATGTTAGACAATTATGTGAAAAATGCTTTTCAGGAATGCAGTCCTAATGTCAAAGGAAATTTCACAATAAAATGCCTGACTTTTACAGGACAGTGGGAGACCAAGAACTAAAATGACTTTCCCTGTTTTTGACCAGCCAGGATTTACAAAGCATCTTTGTTCTGTGCATGGAGACAGAATTGGGCTTCATGCTCTATCTGCTCTTTACAACAGCTCTGTGCTGCAGGCAATGTCAGTTGCAAGGTATGGCACTGATCTAACAAAAACAGAGTAATACTGACTGGGCTTTTCAACTACAGCCAATGCACTGCGCTGACCCCAACCTCAAAAAGCTAGAAGCTTATATACTATTCCGTGTGGTGGTTGTATCCGACACCAAGAATCTTTCAATGCTATTAATGATGCATACCTAATGTCAGGCAACCGTGGGTGTAAAGCATGATAAAAGTAAGTGAAGCCTAACACTGTGGTCTACACAGGAATAGAAACGTGAGTGAAGATTCAGTTTATACCGTAGCTTCACTTTGCTCTTTAAGTCAGATACACAGTGAGCCTTGCTCACTGCAAAGTTAGCAAGGTCAATGCAAAGAACTGTGCTGTGCTCAGAAATGAGACTGGCTGCACTGGAACACAATTTAAAGCCTCCTAGCATTCAAGGTAAAGGTCAGGTTGCCTTAGTTACAGACCTGAAACCAGTCAAGGGGAGGCTGTTTGCAACTAGTCTATTATTTTATATGAGCTATTAAAGACAGCATCCAGAACGCTGCCAAGAGTCCATTCCGTAGTATTTTTGGAAAGGGAATTATGTGAGTGCTGTAAGACCACCACACATACAAGATATTCTGTTAAGGTACAGCAGGCTACCTCAGTGTTCATTTTGGAGTGTCTACTCCTGATTTCAATCACTGGAAACTCTGTGATCAATGCATTGCAAGAATGACCACGTCAACTTTGGACTTACACACACATTTTAATCCAGTTTACTTGAACAGGAATGTAATATATAAATGAATGAACATGACAGATCAGTGCTTGTTAAATAACTCCCATTGATTTAGCTTTTGGTTTTTCTCAGCATTCACCAATGTAGGATATTCTATCATCCTGATGTAAATGCATTTTAATTTTGTCTTAAAGGTATCATCTAAAGAGCCAAAGTTGCCACACAGTAACTTGTTTTTGCATGAATATTTGAAAAAAATAAACATCAAATAAAATGTGAAATGTATTACAAAGGAATTTAAAAATATTTTGCTTCATTGCATCTATTTATTTTATACAGTGTTTAAATTCTGCAGGCTAAATGGTCTCTAACATTTCCCTAGATAAACTACAGTGCAGCTGAGATTCCCCGCTGTAGTATCTGCTAAATATCACAATCTGGTTGCAATTCACAGAAGGTGAAGATGCAAGCCAAAACAGACCGCATCCTACCTGTCACCACCTGCTCGATACATGCGAGCGGAATATCGTGTTCCTCAAGAAGTCGGTTCTTATAGTGGAATTTCTGCAGGGATAAAGACAATAGAAAAGGGAGTGAATTTACAGTACAATACACAGCTCTTTACACAGCATTCTACTTCTAAAAATACATGAACGTACATGATCTCTAAAACAATTCTAGTCATACTGTTTAATTAAAATTCATGTTAAATATATGACCTCACTATTTGTTTTTCACACTAAGCAAGGTAAAAATAAGAGATTTCAATGGAAAGTGCAGTGATTTATTTCTGTTTTATGTGTTGAAAATTAAGAAAAAAAACTTTTTCCAGGAACAATGCTCAGTTGAAGTAATATAACCGCCGGGGAACACAGTCACTTCACAATATGCAAATTAAAGTTTTTGAACGCATCTGTCAGGCCCACAGAGAGAATTCCTATAGAAATCCCCATAACGAGGGAGGCAGGAATTCAATGAAAAGGTGCTTTTTTAAAGGAAGGACAGTGCATAGATGGAACTTGCTAAACATCTGCATTTTTACATTTTAAAAAAGTACACCTGGCATTTTAGTGGAGCACAATATATAAAAAGGACTTTTTGTTTGAGAAATCTTGCATGAATGAAATGCAAATGTATGTGAGAGATCAGATAAAAATCTAATCTGTTTATGGTCTAACACTATCCCTGTGACGGACTGCAATAATGATATAATGGCAGGCCTAATGATATAGTGGCAGGACTTTAACTTCACAAATCTAGAATTGAATATGATTTGAATGTAGTTTTAATTAAGCTAAAGGCATTCCAATGCTCGTGCGGCATACAGACCTGAGGGACAGCGTCGTTGGTAATGAAGGAGATCTTGAAGTTTGTGCACACCAGCTTCCCCCACAGGTCATCCTGGCTGCTGTCAGTCCCAATGCATTTCCTCACAAAGTTCACCTCATTTACTATGATCTCCCCTGAAACAGCAACACAGCAACAGCTTGTCATGCTGTCAAGCCCCTGGATGGACGTTAAGTGCATTTTCTAGTTTTCCAGTTAATTTATTTCAGTCAGAGTTTTAAATTTTCTGTTTGTTTTTATTATTTTTTTGATGACTTTGATGAGGCCAATAAGAGGAAATGATCAAGAACTTATGAGAATACCACCTCATGTGATTTTCTAACCTACTTTTGACTTTTGAACTATTTATTTTAAAAAGGTGAATGTTGTCTATTTTAGTTTTTGTTTAACTAATTAAAACTACCCCCCCAAAAAAGCAACAGAAAACAATAAGTTCATCAGGCTGCAATCTTTCAACACTTCTCTTCTGTATTTAAAGATTACAAGTTTATTTTAGATTTATCGATTTAACTTTTTAAGGGATAGTAATTATCCATAAAGAGAAATACGTATTGCAAAACATCAAAGTGACAACTGGATTCTGGCAGGGTGTAAGCTGCACTTGGCTGATGCAGAGCAATGAACCAAGTAGAGCAATGAATTGCGCAGTTCAGGGTGGCTTCTTTTACTGCAAGAGGCATTTGAGAAAAGTAGTATCAGCTACTACAGTATCTGCTACGATTTTCAGTAATACAGATCAGGAGATACACAATCAATTTCCTGCTGAGAAGATATATTCACTATCATGCTGCTTCAACATAAAATGACAAAAAGAGTTGCAAGCTTCCTCTTCAGGTTTACATCCTTTTTGTGGTACAGATGACTACAGTTTCGTAATAACGAAGCAAGTTGGTGGTCTAGGGATATAATTGGAGAGGCCAGTGTCTGCAACCCAGTTTCAGCCTGTTGCCTCTTGGCTCAGTCAATGCATTATTAAAAACTCATGTTTTTGTTACTCACTGGCCCTTTCACAACAGAGGGCTGGGAGCCAAGAGACAGAAGTCACTTATCAATTTTTCACTTCGCCGCTCTGTAATCTCGGGCAATTTTGTCCGAGAGAAAAAAAAAAAGAGCTGTAAAGCTCCTGTTCCTGCAAGCCAGTCGGCTCTTCCACACGTGCCCTTTTAGCTGATTAAACCCGAGAAGTTGTCAACACCTCTTCACTCTTGATTGTGGAGTCAAAACACCAGTCTTGTGGGACTCTCACTGAGCTCCAAAAATTGCATAAACACTGTGTAGTGATAGGAAACTGGAACCAACTATGATCCCACCCGACTGCTAAATTACTTCTCATCTTTTCAGCTGTGGTCAAAGAGACAGGTCCTGAATTACAGTTTTCTGGCGAGATGAGTCTGAAACATGGGTATTGAGTCTGTCATTAAGACTGTATAACAGTTTTTGGAAAGCAAACAAGAACCAGATTATAATACTCTATGCATTTAATCTAGTAAATGTTTAGTGAAGCAGAACACTAGAAATGTACTATAAAAGGAAAGAAACCTCTACATATCATAGAAGACCTCACTGGAATCATTTCAAACAAGTCATTTGTTGAAGTCATCGTTGTTGTAGTTGAAAACCCCAGTCAGTATTAATCTGTTTTTGTTGGCGCCATACCCTGCAACTATGCATCACTTGCAGTGCCTGAGGAGGAGTATGCCACCTAACTGCCTATATATACACTACAAGTGTAAATAACACGTCTAGGCTCCTTCACACTTTCTTCCGAACTTTATGGCCGAGTTTTCTGTGCTAATGGAGAAGGAACAACAGAGGAGTTATATAAGCCAGCTTCAGTGTAGGTCTGTATAGCCTTTGCAACCAGATCACTGCTCCTCTGCTGAGGTTTCTTCACTGAATGCTGTTCACGTTTCCTCAGTCCACAGGATCCAGTTTCAGAATGGAATGAAATGTCCACATTCCAGTGTATAACTTGCAGGAGTACGCAATGGATATAACTAAGAATGTAGAGTAGTTCTTGCACTTTTATGACATGTTCTTTTATAGGGACTTCAAGCTTAAAGAAAATTAACTTTCTCGACGAACAGGGTCAATGAACTGGATTTATGGGATCAGCCAGTTTGCAGAATCTGAAGTTCAATGTAATCTTGATCTTTCCACAGACAGCAGCTTTTGGTTACAAGTATACCTCTTGCACACGGGTACCTCTGGAAGTATTTCAATATTAAACAGGGGATGAGTCAGCAGAGTGACTTTGTGTGCCAAGTCTTACTATCCAAAGTTCAACAGTCTTTAGCTGTTAATAGCTTTCCAAGAAAACCTGGGGCGATCAGAACAGAGTGGAATTTACAAAGCATAAGGGAATTACTTTGCATATAAAAACTGTTAATGTTTCTGAATTATTATACAATAATTAATATACAGGAGTGACGGAAGAAGGAGACTTTATCCACCTGCTCTGACCATGGACATTAATCCACACACCTTATATAAAATACAACTTTCTAACACTGTTATCTGTAAAAAATGTAAAACATTTCTTCTTTTTTCTGCATAAAACTTTTTTTTACCATATCAAGTTAGAGATTTCAAATGTAATTCCTTCAAGTCCTCTAGTTCAGACAATGTGACTTCATTTAACGGGCATTAAAAACATTCCTACACAACACGGCGTAGTTTGCAAAACAGTGGAGTTGGAGAGAGGAGACTGGGGCGGATTCCGTTTTAATTACCCACAGACTACAGTGGGAGGAAAACTCATTCACACACATGTCGCTTCTGTGGTCAATGCATGACTTTCCTTTGAGTGTTGCTACTGGCGACGGGTTCTGGCGTTTCCCGAGCCTGTGTTTAGAAGCGCTGTCAACCGCTGCACAAGACCAGCCATGACCCCCCTCCTCCTCTCCCTCCCACATGAGCTCTGCCTGTCAGGAAGAGGCCAGGAAAACCCCCCTCACAAAAAACCACACCGCAAACCATCGCTGAAGGGAAGAGATTAATAAAGCACCACGAGCAGAGGCTGACGAATTGGGGAAGTGGGGACGGAAAAGGCAGTGTAGCCAACGCCGGAGGGTTCCCTGTTCGAGCAGCACCGCTTCGGGTCTTCCGCCCTGCCTGCACGTGAAAGGGACATGGCCAAAGGCGCCGCTCCTCAGGAATGCATTGTTTTAATACTTAAGACATAGTGCTCATGGTGTTTTCATCTTGAAAAGAGACAATTAAAGGTGGACCTCGTTCAAGTATTCCTTATCCACAAAGCTCTGACAATGTCAACTCACTGGACATCAACACTTAACAACTGAGTGGACACCTTCAGAGGACACAAGTGGCAGCTGTAAGGAGCCATATTTAAAACCAATAATGATAATGTTTCTTTATGAGCCCTATACAATTTCATGCATTAGGAATTCATCTTTTCACATACCCCAGCTTTTCTTCATGGAGACACAGACAGGGAGAGAAGCTTGGGGTCAGAGCGCAGGGTCTGCCATTGTACGGCCCCCCTGGAGCAGTTAGGGTTGCTCAGGGGCCCAACGGAGTAGGATTCCTCTGCCGGCTGTGGGATTTGAACCGGCAACCTTCCAGTCACAGGCCCAGATCCTTAGCCACAGAGCCACCGCTCCGCCCAAAGTTAAGATTAGCAAGACCAGGAGACCCTTTTTTATTACACAAAGGGGTGTGAGAGTCTAGAATTAACTACCCCGTCCTGTTGTAATAGTTAATTCCTGTTTTAAAAAAAAAACACCTGGATGAGATCCTGACTAATGGCATGTTAACAGTTAATAGTCAATAGCTGTTCACTAACAGCACCCAAACAAGCTACATTTCAGTTCTCGTTGAGAACAGCACTGTGATGAGTTTAAGTCAGCCTGTAATGTTAAAACAGGAAGGTGATTTACAAAGCAGAAATCATTACTTGTTCAACGGCAACTCTTGTAGGTCAGGTTCAAGTCCTCGTTCAACAGCCAAGGGAACTAAAGGTGTACACTCTGCAAGATCGTGAAATGGGTCAGGATACTACTACCTGAATTCTAAATTCTGTTTTTAATTCAGCTCCCATCTGGAGCAGACGTGCTATTTGAAGTCATGCTTAAACTCAAAAGACTAAAACTGACAAGAGGCAATACCAAATGCTTCCTTCCTCTATTTGACACAGCTTATAAATAAACAATGACTCAGATGTGTTAAAGTAAATCTAATTGTTGCTGAAAACATTCTCTCTCATGACTCATATTAGTAATATATACTCATTATATCAACTAAATGATGTAGACTGAACAAAGAAATTGTGGGTATGTAAATTAATTAGCTCTTTAATCATTACAGACGGAACTGTCTGACTTTTCAATCCATTTGCAAATACAAAGTTAAGGTTAGCAGGCACAGGTAACAGCCATTGAACATGGCTGTCAAATAGTATTCATACCCAGAATTCATTGCACCTGTTGTTCTAAATTCCTGCCTCAGCACTGAGAGGTGTTCATTCTTCAAGCCAAAAGAATGGGTGAAAAACTAGCAAAGGGCATTACAGGACAGTTAAAACAAACCTGTTAAACAAATGAACTTGTTGCAGGTACATGTACAAGGAACACACAGGTTAAGGCAGCATTTCTCAACCTTTTTTGTAACAGGTCCAGCTCCCTGGAGTCCATCTTTGAGGAATGCTTAGTCTAAGAAATTATTAAATACAGTTTAATCGATAATGCTACTTAAGCTGATGGCAGAGAACAGTCTGTGGATCTGGGGTCAAGGAACATGAGGCTAAGGAATTTTGGAACAGCAGTTCCTGAATGCTTTGGGAAAAAAAAGATTACACTCTCTCATTCTCACATCTACGTATATGTTTACTGATTCAAAGTTAAATTCAAACTCTAGAACTTTATGTATCTGCCTAGAGCTGGGCTGAAAAATCAAGCAGTTTTTGTCCATTTCCACAGTTGCTTTGTATTCACAGACTGCTGCTCTTAGTATTCCAATGACAAAGGACAATACAGTGCCACTGGAGCACTGCATAACTACAATTCTTTCAGATACACTACTGCGAGTGTGAACACACACAGAGGTGTGCTTGGCACCTTATGACCTATTTAGGGCTGTGTGTAAAAACGAAAGATCA